CCATTGTTAAGGAGACGTTGGCAGTTGAGGAGCAGTTGATCATGGCCAAAGCAAAATTGCTGGAGACAGAGGCGACAATTCAGCAGTTAGAGCAGCGGACGGATGTTGTGTTGTGCGCAAAGGTAGACCAATGGCTTTGCGGTTATGTAGAGTGAAAGATCCTGACCTTGAAGTGGACGAAATTGAGTGAGCTAGAGCACCGAGTGAAGAAATTGACAGCCAGCGGGGTTGAAAGACATCAACAGTTAAGTATGAAGTTCAATACGTTCATCTCCGGTTTTGAGGAGACGAAGGACAACGTAGAATTAGAATTGTTAGTCGTTTTGAGTAGCATAGGAGCATACATGACATCAACGAGCTTGGCAATTGCCGTGTCTGCTGGCGTCGCAATTGTTGGAGGCTAGAAGCTTAGCAGGTGATGCCTCCGGGTGTTAGTTGTGGAGAAGAGATTCAAGACTCTACCTTGGGGAGCTTTTCTACTAATTAATTTCTCAGTTTTCAGCCACCTTTTCTATGCGCGTTAGTGAATTGTGCGTTTTGTCACTGTGTCCGAGTTGTTTTAGTTTGTCGAAGATACCGCAACTGAAATACAGAGTCTAATTCAGATGTTCTGAGTGGTGCATAGTGTAGCTCAGGATTAAAGTAAATCTGTACATTGGAAGCTCGGTGCACACGATTGAGCGTGTAATCTTGGGAAATTTCTCCCCCAATATTAATTGCAGAGTCGCTTGCGGCTTCTGTAGGGACTTATTGGATGAATTTCAAGATTTGAGTGTGATTTCACCCTGCAATGTGTTGCCTTTGGCCTTAGCAATTGCAGACGCTTCTAGGAGTGACATGTGCCTAAGAAGTAAAACTTCTTAATAGAATGTTAGTTTGTGACACTACTTGATTTTCTAGTGTTGTTTCTGTTCTCGTGGGATTGGATCTTTACCATTATACTCCATTTTGGTAATTGTCTGTCATTACAATTACTTAGCATTAATGTTTGGTATGAAATTATCATATAGAAAAAAATGAATATGTATTTGAGGAACTAGTAGTTTAAGAGTTAAATGTTAACATTGAAACTATCATGTAGAGAAATTAAGAGTCGTAACGACATAGATTAAATGTTTGGATTGAAATTATCATATAGAACAAGATTAATATATATTTGATAAACTACATACATCATTTGCAATTGATTAAATTGAATAATTTCATCCAAAAAAATAAAAATAAATTATGATTTATATATTTCAAGATTTTTTCTACGTAAATGCATTATCTATACGCTGAAAAAGTTTTCACATCTAAACAAATGCACTTTTGGACAAATGTAATCTAGTTAAAATCCTTGTGATTAAAAAATCAATCATAAATAAAAAAAATTTACTCAATTTGAATGTAACGTTTGATTATGAACCAAGCAATAAAAGGTAATCTTCATTTTTTATTTTTTTTATGTGTATGTTCAAATTAATTGATTAAGTCAAATGAAATACAAGAAGTATTAGATTATGTAGGAGTGAGATATGGCAGCAAAATAAATTTCATCAAATAGTACACCCATAATTGCATGCAACAATTTTTGTTTTGCAGTAAAATTATATTATTCAATCCAATAGATTTATTGAAATTAGAATAAAAAAATATTTTAAAAATAGTTTGTGTTTGCAATGATTCATTGAATGTTTCGATTGATTGATCAATTGAACAATATTAATCTTGAGATTATGAAACTTTAAAGAAATCAAATTTGCATCAAATTGACAAACTCAATGTACAAATATTTTTTGATGAATTTTTAATTTTTTATTTCAAATTACTGAATGGTGTTTTTATTTCAACCTTTAAAAAAATTTGAATGTAAAGTTTCGGATTAATGATTTAAAATTCATGTTATAATCTTGATATCTCAAAACTAAACATAAAGTTGTTTTTTCAACCCAATCATTTAATTTTTTCATTTTTTTAATGTTTTATTGTGAATTTTTTTCATTTTAACAACTCTTGTATATATTACTGTATGAGAATACAAAATTGTGTAGTCGACAAATGTAAATAAAAAATTTGATAAATAAATTAGTCTAAAAATACATGTAATTGGATAAAATTATAGGAATAGAAATTTAGTGTCTTATCAAATTTAAAACATGATCAATATGCAAAAAAATCAACAGATTTTGTACAAAACTTGCTAGGTCATGATATTATTTGATTTCTATTTGCAATAAGAAAAAAATTATTTTGAAATGTTTAAACTATTTATTTTTTAAATTTTTTATTTTATTTTTTATTTTTTTTATTTAAAATCACATTCATATTTTTTCATATTGATTTTATATTTTTAAATAACTGATATGTCACTATAGAGACAAACTATGAGTTGAGTGATGATTTTTTTAATTAGATTTTTTATTGATCTTCTTGGAAAAATTTTCAAATGTTAAAGCATGTTATTCATTTTGATTCAAGAATTATGTATATCATTTTTCCATTTAAATTCTACAGTTTAACTTCATTTTACTAATGAAGTTGTAGGAGGTGGGTTACTAAAGAAGGTGTTTTACTAATTATTTTAAAAAAGTCAAGAGACAAAATTAAAAAAAATAAACTTTTATTATAACTCATATAAAGTTTAATAGAATATACTTAGCCAATTGAATATATATTTTTGAAGATTAGAATACAGAAGGTTTACACTATTATTACGTATATTTATAAAAGGTTTAATTATAGGATTTGTAGATAATATTAAAAAATAAATAATGAGAAGAAATTTTAAGAATTAAAATTTTCTTTGGCACAAATACAAAAATACACAAATTGAAAATTTTCAGTTTATTTTTTTAAAATTTTAAATTAATCAATTCAAGCGCATGTAAAACTATGTAAACATTTTGTGTTATATAGAAATCCTTTTCAGAATTTTTTGGGAGATATTTTTATTAGATATAAAAGCAAACAAGATAAGATACAGAAAAACGTGAATCATTATTAGTTTATTGATTCTTATAATTTTTTATGTTCTCGCTTTGCTAAATATAATAAATATATTTTATAAATGATATTTTTAATCCTCAAAATGCAATGTAAATTTATGTCCAACTAAATTTAAATGATATATAATGCGAAATTATAAATCAAATTTGATACATATAAAAATGTGATCTTCTAATATGATATTTAAAATTTTAAAAATTTAAGTGCTAATGAATCATGTAATTATTGGATTGAATGTCAAAAATTTATTAGATTGTTGATTTTTAAAAAATCAACAGATTTTTATAAAATTATATTTATAAAATCGACAAGAACAAGAAAACTGATATTTGATTGAAATGAAATAAAGTTTCATATGTTTTAATCAAATGAAAAATGATTTTTTCTAAGATTTTGATATGTGAAATTTTAGTGAAAGCCCAAAAGAAAAAAATAAAATCATATGTGAAGTTTCAAGTTAGAGTGAATAGTTCAATTTTTGGGTGACATAAGGATTTTAAGATGTAATTTGGGCAGATTGATATACTTATAGATTAGCAATGGGTTTATTACATCAATTGTACGCACATAAGGAATTAAAATAAAACACTTGTCAAGAATTTAGTTGTTGTGGAGCAAAGCAAAATCATTGTGACATACATTCGAATTACAACATGAAATTTGTGAGCTGTAATAAATCTGTTCAATTTATATTGATATTCAAGCTTCATTGAGTTGTAAAATTTTGCTTGGTGTTTTCAAGTTTAGAAAATCTGAAGATTACAATTCAAGATAAGATTGAACCTCAAAAAATTCAAAAAATAGGATGTTCCAGTATTTATTAATCTTGAACTGTATGTGAAACAATTTTGCAATCAAGGTGAAAGTTTTTTTACACTTGACATGCCATTCCCTAACTTTAAGTCTTGAAACATATCAAATATCATGTTACAAGGTAAACAAAGGAGATTGTATCATACTAGGAGATGGCAAAAGAGACTACCATACATCCACAATCTCTGTTGTTCTTATAGGAAATCAATGTCCATGTAATACTCACTAATAAATAATCTGGATCTTGCTAAAATTATAGTAGTCAATTCGTTTGAGATTCATTTTCATCCTTGATCTATAACTTCGATCCATTTGAAAATTGATGCATTAAAATTTTATATTTGAAGACTAAAATATGAATTTGAATCTTATCCTATTAGAATTTATCTTTGGTCTTCAAAATTTGCAATAGCTTCCAAGAATCTTCCATTCAAACCAAATAACTTCAATCTACTACGCTGTTGAGTGTGAATTTCTGTGCTCTCCGTCTTGAACTTCTATGCTGTGGCACGACTTGGATGAGCTCTACACTGACTCTATAGCCAAAATACTCTACTTTGTAAACTATTCCAAAATCACATTCTGACCTCACTAATATACAGCTAATTTTCTCTCAAGACTCCAAGTACTTGTCTCAAAAAATGCTTTTCATTACCATACAAGTATCGTCACATATCAGGATACCAGCTACAACACCATCATTGATTTGTCTACATATTTTTAATTATAAGAATAAAAAATCATTATTAAGTTCTTGAGTTTCATGACTGCAACAAGGTCTGTGATTCAACCATAGTCACGGAGACGAAACTCTTCCGATTGTTTGCGGTAGAAAAATTGCGTCTCACTTACGCTAGCTAATATTGTCTCGCCACAATCAAGTCCTTCAGTCCACCAACGCCTGCGCTGCTCTGCGCTGCGTTACTTCTGAATCCGAAGCGTACAAGACAAGCTCCCTGCAGCAAAACCATAGGCATCCAGTCATGATTCTTTGTCGGGTGCCTTTCGTGCTGAGAACTCAACCGCAAAGCGTGTCGCGCACGTGCACGCAAGCGATCAGTGGAACCCGTGCTCTCGATGGAGCAGGGAACAAGCAAACAAGCAAACAATCTAGCTTCAGTCAGCCTGAGGCCAGACGAATGGAGTCCCATCCCGGAGGACTTAGATGCTATTTCAACTGCCATCATTTCGCTTTAGTTCCAGCAGCTGCAGGGTAGGAGGCGTGCTGTCCTTCCCCCGTTGCACTTCCATCTCAACGCAGAGGAGGAGGGAGGTAGACTTTTCCACACCACAGAGGCCACAGTTTGCCTCGTCGTCGAGGTTCTGATTGGGAGGCTGTCATCGGGGCCATCGAGTTCACCCACCCACCCAGTTGAGCAGCCGAGCTCAACTGTCAACGAATTTTTGAGCAGTCGGCCTCTAGAACGAAGCTTAGTATCACAGTTGTAGAGGGAGGGGAGGAATTTAATTCAGAGAAGGTTGGGGAGAGGGTTGGAAACATGAGACGCGAAGGCAGAGTTCATGGATCGTACGTGCGTATGAGCAAGCATGAAGATTTCGAGTACAACAAGGGCGCTCCTCGGAGGCCGACGAATCACTCCAGAGTGACGTCGTGCTGCTTGAACAACAAGGTGCGCTGCTGCGGATGCCACACCATGCCCGTGTTGAAAGCCATGTGCAAGACCAAGGGCATGTTCAAGCTTAAGGACCTCGACATCACCAGCAACCATAAGCTTGTAGACTTCAGACTACTCAGTTATTCTTCAAGGTACTTGGGTCGCGACTCCGTAGCGGACCTTCGTGGCTATGATGATTACAGTGTCAGTGACGCCGGCTCCGATTGTGATAATGACGAAGATGCAGAGATGGATCTGGATGAGAACCAGTGCTCCCCCGATATGATGGTCACGATTGCCAGCTTCTTACGTGACATGAGGAGTGCCCCTGAACTCATCCGAGATGCCGACACTCCAGGCAGCATTTTGGAGGGGGCAGCTGCTCCCGACGAAACCGCTTCCGAGCACGGAAGTTGTGATGATGAATCTGAGAACAAGATCGGAGCAGGAACTGACTCTGATTGTAGCTGGGCCGGCGTTGATCTCTCGGATACGGAGCACTCTGGTGTCGATGTTGATGGTTGGTACTTGGTCGGCTAGAAAGAGCCTCGTGGAAATGTTCCTCGCGGAAATCAATGCAAATCGGCTCACTGCCCTCTTCCGGTTGAGTGAATGCCCCTTAACAGTGCTCGGTGACCCGAACTCGATTTTTAGCTCTGCCTCTGCAGAATCCTCGGGAGGGCTTATCCATTCTGTACTTATGCAGCTACACTAATCCCTGTAGATTGCCACCAGTCCAGTCCCGTAATCGATATCTTCAGTACAGTAAGAGGAAGAAGATGATGAAGAAAAGCCTTTTAGCCTGTGGGGAAACAGGATGGTGTGATTCATTGTTCCAAGGAGGAGCGAGACTTTTGACCGTGGGCGGGTCATACCTTCCATGCTGCGGGTGATAGGAAGCGCTGAACTTCAGCCTTCGTGTTGAGATTTGATGACATGTAAAGTTGAAAACAATAGGCAGAATTCGTTGACAGAAGCCTCAGAAAAAGCTATGAAGCTCGTATCCAAAAATATGATGAATAGTTCGTCTCCTTCAGATTGAGATATCGAGTCAATCGTACACCGAAAATCAGACATGCACGTCCAATTGACTAGGCCTTTTCAGCACCGCAAAGAAGCTCGCATGTTTGGCATTGCACTGCCGCCAATTGCAGAGTAGGGAAAACTCAAATGTAGATACCACAACATTTAATAGCGAATGGAAAAATTCAGCGGTTTGGCCGCCTCTGTTTTTCAACTGTTCTCTTCAAGGATTTCCTTGAAACAAGTGTTCTCGCACCGCACCTGCTGACAAGGCCTCTCCATGGAACCATCGTGAATTGAGCGGTTGTTGTGAAGAATATAGATTATTGGAGATACATTGTTTCTCAAACAATCTCGTAGGGCTCTGTTCCTCCGACGATGTTGTCGGAAAGTACGCAAAACGCATCTGCTTTCTTCACAAGTCTTCCTGACCAGATGTCTCCGTCAATTTACCGAGCAAATCAAGTCAAGTCTGAGGGACCCGGGGAGAAATGTCTGCCATATTCGACAGACATGCCTCGTGTAGTCTTCTTGCAGAGATGAATCTGTGAGAGAGTATCTTCCGAGGAGCTACGACATTTTCTGCTGAGGCACGTTCTCTGTGACGGTGGACAAGCCTCAAAGACCTGCAACGAAGCCTGAGTACTGCAGAGTGAAATGGAGATAAGCCCTACTGGAGCATGGAGGTCAAGGAATGAATATTTCTCATGGTCGCATCTTGTTTCTGCGAGTCCTTTCTACTGTCAGCAATGAAACCTCCCCTCGAGCACCGCGAAGTGGAGTCCATGCACATGAAAGGATGACATCACAATACACAGGATTAAAGCATGTCAGAATGAGCTACAAATTTTCAGCAGGCCACATAAAAGCAGGAAGTTATGTCATTACGCCATCATCACCACGTTCATCAACAATCCGTCCTCGTTTGTTTATTCTCGCAGTCAACAGTCTCACTGACGTTTCTCTTGTGATGATGCTTGTCTTGTATCCAGCTGGGAATTCGCGACATTCAGTCATTGGATCTCAAGTGTTCCAGCGTCTGCTGCCACCGCTGCGTTCAGTTTCTTTTGTTAGATTTTGGAATCAAGTCGAGATCCTGTTGGACCCACTCTCCACAGCGAGACGATTCATTATCACCATCGCTGCTGCACTATGCACCGTCACCTATAGTGCACCTATCAATAACTCTATTTTATTTTCTAAAATATAAAATTTTATATGTAGTATTTCAAAAAAAATCTAAGCATCATTAACATAAACGTAGATTTCACAAATTTTATATTTTTTTAATAAAAAAATTTTATATCATAAATATCGCTGCTGCACTACTGCACTATAGGTGATGGATCCGAGTGTACGTCACTGTCCGAGGGTGATGGAACTCTTCATCACCCACGGAATGAAGAGCTCCGAGGGGCAAGGGATGGGTAAGGAATGCGGAGCGAAGAAACCGTTCAAACACTTCAGGCATCCTTCTCCAAATGTTTAGGCAGCTCTCTGCAAATCCTTACGTATAAATTAACAAAGCATGGCAGGCCTTGGGAAGAAGCTGTATTGGGCTGTTTCCCACTTTGTGAGATTGGAATGCTCCTCCATCCTCACATTGGGCACGGCTGGGGCTTCCGGTACTCCTCCACTTCTTGCTCTGAGCTTGGGAACATCGTCTGCTGCACTCCTACCTATGGTAGGAGTACCGGAGTGTATACTATGTACATTATATACAATACATACATTATATACATAGTATGTACCTTACCTTCATGGTACATACTCACTCTTACATCTTTCACAATTGATTAAGGTACTCTTACCTATGGTAGGAGTACCTTAATCAATTGTGAAAGATGAGGTAATGATAAATTTTTAGAAACTTATCCCAATGCACATGTGGTTTTATTAACTGAAAGATTCATCTATAGTGTGAAGATTAGAGAAGTAGAAGATTAATTTGGAGATCAGATGCTGTATTATGGCCTATGAATATATATATGGAAAAGTCATTAGACAAAAAAAAGGAGTAATTTTACAAAAAAATCAAAGAATTTTTTTATACTTATTTGATGAGATCTATTGATAAGGATAAACCTATATTGAAAAGATGCAACAACAATTATTTATTTGAAAGACAAGAAAATGAAAATAAAGGAGAATTCAGATGAGTAATTTTGATTGAAGAAGCTTACTCACATAAGATTAAGATTCGATTTTACTCCTCTATTTAATAAAATACTAGCTTGTCTTTAAACAACCAAGAAAAGAACGGAAAATATGTGCAAAAACGACAAAATCAACAACATGTCTATGAGGGATGAGTTTGTGATAAAGTTGAAAAACATCATGGAAGACAGTCTATCAAAACTTTATGTGGAATTCATCACAACATATACTTTTTTTTTTCGCTTGGAAGAAGTTTCATCATTTTCATGAAGAAAAAATAACATGTTTTCATTGAAACCACTCTACTACAGGGTTTATATATATAGAACAATGTTCAAGTGACAAAAAATTCATCATGTTTGCTTTGATCATGGTAAAAAAGGATGAAGATCATCACTTATTATTTTTGATCACATTTAACAATATCAAAACTCTATATCATATACTTTTATTTATTAAAAATCATATATCATAGCATCCATGTAAAAATTCAGGAGGTTTGAAAAACACATACATTTGTAACAAAGATGTATTGCAATTGATACAATATTTTAAATAAAATGAAATAATGATATAAAATTATATAATACTTGTATGATATTTTTTAATGATACTTTAAATTTTTTTTAAATAAATCTTATACATCACTTTTTTCTTCTAAATATATTCAATTTCAACAATTTCTTATTTATGTTCATTTTTTTTAAATTCATTTATGAAATGTATCATAATCTCTATCTTACATATTGAAGATGTGAATATTTAATATAGTATTAATATCCGTATTACATTGTTACTATGTGTGTTAAATTTGATTAGTAAATTTTCATTTCATATTTATCACATGTATTAAAACAGATAGTTTAAAGCTTTTATAAATCATATGAAATTTCATAATAGAAATTTTAATTAAGTTAATATCATATTTACAACTGGATGTTTTATGTAATGAAAGAAATAAAATAAATTATCAAAGAACTTTTAAAAATATAATAAATTTTTATTGCATATAATGAATCTTTAAATTTATAACCCGTTTTGATATAATTAATTTTTATTTCATCTAATATATCTTTAAATTTATAATCTATTTTGATAATCTAAATATGGAAATCTTTTTTCACATGTTAGTATTAACTTAGAACTTGGATTGATGACTAATTAATCTAATTCAAGTTAGATTTAGTCTTAGGTTTACCAAAGAGTTCATTCTACTTACTATAATTTGATTTGCAACAATATGTACTGCATTTTGACCATCACGATGAAGATTAAAAAAACTCAGATTTTAAGTTCATCTTAGTGAGAAAGCTATTCAACCAAATAACTTCTATTGCCATACATTTAAATACTTAGCTTTAAATTTGAACTTAGCCATACATTTCTGCAAAATAGATTTTTAACTAATGAGTCCACCACCAAGTGTAAATAAATATCCAATTGTAGATTCATTCTTGTCTAGATTTATCCATAGTCTATAGATTTAATCTAGACATAACTTGGCAAAAATTTGACATTGCTTAAGAAAACATGCAACAATTATCCGTAATACTTAGTAATTTCAAATAAGCTAAAATCCATTTCCCAGATTTTCAATGCAATTTTACTAGATTTGATATGTACATGCTTACCTTACACATAGCTAGAGCATTATCAAATCTTGTGTAAATTATCAAATACATGGTGCTTTTCAGAACTTTGTCATATGTAATTGATGAAATATTTTTTTATCAACGACAAGATATGCAATATGTTGAGCCAATCAAGTTTACCATATAAATTTTGGTTCAAAGCCCCAATATAATTGAAAAAATGATTTATCCACACAATTACGAACTCAAACAATCTCTCATTGATCTTGCATGTCCGGTGTGGAACTGTAATAACCCACCAAAGGCTAAAACTGCAATATAGTGGTAGAAAGGTCGATCCCACAGGGACAAAGTCAACACACAGAGTACAAAGTGTCACATTTAACAGACTATTGAAGAGTTTGAATTCTCAGGCGACTGTCACTCCCAGAAATACTGCAAGTGTTCAGTCGGAGGTCGCACAGTGCAGTGTAGTTCACTCAACACACACACACACACAAACACACCTGAAACTATCGAAACACAACTCAGAGGTCGGTTAGGACCTCTACTTAAGATTTCAGGGGGAAAGTCTCTCGCAAGTACACTCAGCGAATCTGCGGGTAGTGACTCCCAACTCCGGCTTTTACAACCCTTCCACTAGTTTCTGCTAGCACAGGGAACCCGGAATGGACTTCCTACTTCGGATCAAAGTCACTCACACGCGGTGAACAACACACTCAACTCACAGAACGCGCAGAGAACACAGGTCCAACTGAGAGACTCAACTGAGAAACGATCCAGTAGCACACCATAACAGTCTATTGACGAGTTTGAATTCTTAGGCACTTGTCATTCCCAGAAATACTACAGGGTTTGCCCTGAAGGCACCTCCTGCAGCGTAACCTGAATTACAACCAAGGCTTACTAGAAGTAGCAAAACTTCACTTTGGCATTCAGGGGAAAAATCCCGAAGGAGTACAATCAAGAACAATCACTCGAAAGTGTAAGGGTGAACTGTTCAATTATCTAACTAGTCACTAGCTCTGAGCATTGGCAATCACCCGCAGGTGTAGATCCGAACTACTCAAGTCTCTAACCAATGTACTAGCTCTGAACATTCGGCCGAAGGCCTTCAGCTACAAAATGCGGATCGCCAAGTTGTAGCTCCTCTTGCGCGGTGACAGAACTAAGGACACAAACACGCAAAGAAAATGAGTTCGTGATATGCACTTCTGAACTGGAAGAATCCCAAGGCAAGACGCCTTGAACTACTTTATACCTTCTAAGTGCTAACTAACACTACACTGCACTACGCTACGCGACTCCACGGAACCACGCTACACTACACTCCGCAGATTCCGTGCTTCGCCGTCTGCGCGACGGACTGCCGCACACTAACTCCCCACCCTGCCAGTCTTCCGCTCGACTGCGCAGTCCCAGCCGCCGCAACACCGCAGAAACCTTTGTCTCGAGGGTGGCCATGGTGTCCCGCGACTTCGACAGAAACGAATCCAGCTTCTTCGCCACTCGCCGCCGGCTCCGACTGTCACCTGACATCAACCCCACCGCACGAAGCTCTAACTCGCGCAGTGTGAGTTTCTCCTGCGCCGCCACTTCCCAGTGGGCGTAACCTCTGAGACAGTGGTTGACTCGCCTCGCCAACTCTTCCTTCGTGCGATCTCCCTCTCGCCGGCGATCGTCTTCAACTACAACCAACTGCAATTCGGCCTCCGCACGCTACGCTCTCAATTCCCCGCACTCGGATTGCCGCCCCACCCGACCCTTATTGTGTTTAGAAGTGGATTCGAACCACTGACACAAGGATTTTCAGTCCTTTGCTCTAACCACCTGAGCTATCTAAACAAAAAGAAAAAAGGAACTATGTACAATTCTAATTTGTTGGTTATTCAAGAATTATTGAGTACAAACGCATATCTCGGCCATAAGATACCAACTTCTGATTTTCAAGGATATTTATAAATGAAAAAAAAATATATATCTACCGGTTTTACGAAAAAAAGAGACGATTTATGGATAAACAATTGTTTTTCAAATCCGGCCTTATCGGCCCAAAGGGCCAACGGCCCTTCAGGTTCTCGACTATAGGGAGAGGCCCCGGGACTGTCAGACAAAAAAGGGAAAAAAAACTGACAGGTCTTTGAGAATTATTTATTTATTGGGTTGCATGTTCGGTGATTATTCCGGGCCCGGCGCTTCCCCGGAAAATAGGAAAGAAACTAGGATAAGCAAAAGAACAAAGTGGAGAAAGCCACCACCAGATAATTGCTCACAGCTACCTTTTGCCCACTTTACCAATCAAAGTGGTCCATTTGCGCTTAGACCGTATGATGGGAGACTATCACGTACGGTTTTGAATCAGGGGCGTCAGAGGAAATTCCACATCTACTGTAACCGTTATGAATATTTTTTCAAGTTGTCTATGTTGCCAAGAAATAGTTCCAAAACACGAGTAAGAAACCGGTGTATTTTCACAAGGCGCCCTCGTTCCGTATATAAGTTATTTCGCATTTCTCGTATAGTTTTTCGTAAATATTTTATTTTAGGTGCTTTCTCCTTTGGAATATTATTGTTTGGTTGTTCTATGATTTTTGGGTTTACTGGAGTTCTCTCTTCGCCCAACGGCTTTCCCTTTGGTTTCCCTACATAAAATTTTTTCTACCCAAATCTTCATCCGTCTGCCGTGCGAGCTGACACTGCTCTAACAACCGTGTCTGTCGCACGAGCTCCTCTGACAAAATTTGATTCTGAGCCTGCTCAGAATCCAGCTCCTCTACGAACTTAGCCTTCTCCTTGGCCGCCGCTTCAAGCTTCTCGTCCTTCGACTTGTCGAGGACCTTGTACATCTTCTTAGTGAGATTAAGGTGACCCCACAGGCAATCATACTTCTCCCGCACATCCTTAAGTTCCCGATCCACACGGGCCAACAACTTGCTGGTGTGGACTTTAGTGCGAGTTCGCCTACGCACTAATTCGACGTAGGACCCAGGCTGGCGGGGGTCTGCGTACTTCTCCACTTTGCGATCAAGGTACCTCAACAAAGGTACCACCTGCTCGCAGAGCGCCGCCGTCGGCGTGCCTGCCACTGATTGTCCCTCCTCCTCACTTGATTCCGATCCCGACGCCGATTCCGTCGATCCTACTTCTTCGTCATCCTCCTGTGGTAACCCACTTTTTGTTTTTGTGCGGAAATTAAAACATTTTTGGAAAAAGTACCGCAGCAACAATTGTAAATAATAATCGGTACAATTAAATAGAGTGAAACAGGATAATCGCGGGTCGGGTATGATCTCGTAGAATCCAGGAATTGGGCGCAATGTCCGGGACAGGCGCCCCAACTTGAACGATCAATTCTGAGGGAGAACTCCTTCGGCGCTAGCCACCTGTGACGCTAGAGAATTCCCTCAGAACTTTTTCAATTCACAACGCCTTGACTCGGTTAGGATCTCGTTGGAAAGAGCTCAACGCGTTTGTTCTAACGATCCCAAGAACACCTAGAATGGATGAAGACTCGAGGAGTTATGGTTATCGGAAGATACGGACAGGGAGCGCCTTCGGCGGAAGATATGGGAGCCGGCGGGAGATCCACCTTCGGCTCAGCGCCTTCGGCCCTAGAAGTTCGCCTTCGGGGGTGGATTTCTTTGTACGGCGCCTTCGGCGCCAGCGCATCAAGATTAGGTATACGCCTTCGGGGGTGGCAACCCCGTACGGTCCGCCTTCGGCAGAATGCCTACAGCGGTGCGGATGTGTGCGCCTGCGGCGGAACTGAGCTCCGGCGGCAGAAGCGCCTTCGGAGGGACGAGAGTGAGTAACAGACAAGACAAAATCCGTTGACTGCGGTCAACGCCTTCGGCACAGACGCCGGAGGAGTAAGGCTTGCGTAACTTTCGGCATTCGTAACACCTGGACTTGCTTAGGGTCTCGTTAGAAAGAGCTTGACGCGCTCGTTCCAACGGGCCCAAGAACTCTCAGAACGGACGAGGGGTCACGAAGAAATGACGGTCGACGTACACGCCTTCAGCAATGCGCTAGGGTGCGCCTTAGGCGAACATCGAGCCGGCGCCGTAAGCAACGCGCCTACGGTGGAAGTGTGCACCGTCGACAGACAAGTGCGGCTACAGCACGGGCGCCCTCAGTGACCGAATTAACAGGGAAAGGGACGACACTTCGGAGACGCCATCAGCGAAGGCCTCCGGACAAGCGCCTTCAGCGATGCGCTGGCGAAGAAGGAGTACGCCTTTGGCGACACGCCTTCGGCGATGCGCAGAATAAGAAAAGACAAAATAATCGGAGCGTACGCTCCGCCGAGGCGAACATCAAACCGGCGTACGCCTTCGGCGAGGATTACGCCTTCGGCCAACATCGCGCAGGCGGCGAACATCAAACCGGCGATGCGCGCCTTCGGCGATGTCGAACTGGGAACCGGCGGGAAGTGGCGGCGGAGAAATTCAACCTTCAAGCATGCGAGTGCGCGCAACGGTGAAGCGTGAATTCGAGCGTGCGAGGGAGGACCGTTAGGTCTCGCCGGCTTGGTAATCAAGTGGGATGGTACCCACTGCCTGAGAGGAGCGATGTGCGATCTTGATTTCAGAGGAGAAAAATCTGATCTCCACTCTCATTCTCTCATTCTTGATTTTGAGTTTTCAAACTTCCGAGCTTGAGACGCGCAGCTCAATCGAGCGGAGAGATTTTCAGTGAGCAGGGAGAGTGCAGGAATCTGGAGAGTAGAGGAGTGTGCAGCAACAGAGTGCGCAGAAGAGAATTGCGCGAGGATCTTGAGGAGACCACGCAAAGAGTTTGAGAGCAGAGAGATTGAGCGCGCAGGAGAGAAGAAAGCGATTTCAGCAAGTGCCTGAGCACCCGACGCGCAGCGGCGAGTGTGGGAGATCGAGCGGGAGGGGAAATCGTTTGTGGATGCAGAGAAGTGCGAGGAGGATGTCGAAGGCCCCCCAGCTGCGAGTGGCTCCGCTCAAAGTGCCGCAGATCGGTCTGCGCGCATTTCAGGATGTGTTGATGAAGCGGAAACTTGATTTCCTCCTGTGGGGATGGAACTGGACGTGTCCGGAAATGGTGCGTGAATACTTGCGAGAAAGGCATCAGCCTTCGCGCGGATTCCGACCTCATCCAAACCGGTGGGAAATTGGCCACTGGGCGCAAGTGCTGGGAAGGTGCGCAGGGGAAGACGGATATCTTCTCTTCGAGGCCGAGAGCGTGAAGGTTTCGAAGGAAGAAGAGAACTCCTACAGCAACCTTTTCAAGGTCGGCAAGCATGCCAAGAACGGGTACAGGACGCGGGACTACAAGGATCGATTGCGGAGGAACGTCGCGACTGCACTACTTCAGATATTGCAGCCGAGCCGGGCCGGCTACATCCATTGTTGGCAGGTAGGATTTGTGGAACTGGTGTTGTCGGGAGCTCCGGTTCATTGGGCGCGGTTCCTGTGGAGGGTGACGCGACAACATGCGCAAGAGGAGAGAGGAGTAATGCTCAATCACCTTTCGCCTTTCTTGATTGTTTTCTATCGAGCGATGGGATGTTTAACAGCTTCAGAACGAGTGCGATTTCTGTTGCTATCGCGGAGTAATCCGGGTAAGTATGTGCGGGAGGCTGAAGTGGATACGGACTCTAACGAAGCACCTTCCAGTCCACCTCCGGCTCGACCAAGAACAGAGGAAGAACATCGAAGTCAGAGCGCACCTCGGAAGCGGAAATGGGATGAGAGGCCGGAAGAGCGTCAGCAGGAAGTTCCCGCTGCGCCGGGCCGGAGTCGGCCAACACACGAGCTTTGGAGTCGGCCGAAGCAGAACGCACGTAAGTTGGTGTTGCCGACGAGCAGTGCGGAGACAGGGCGTACTACGAGCAGGCGGGATGTACTGCCCACACAAGAAGAGATAGTAGCACAAATTTTGGGGAAGTCAGTGGAATCCTCTGCGCAGAAGGCGCAGACGCCTTCGGAAGAAACGAACCGGCCAACTGCAGATCGGCGAGAACAGCATGCTGTAATAACCCACTAAAGGCTAAAACTGCAATATAGTGGTAGAAAGGTCGAACCCACAGGGACAGAGGAACACACAGGGTACAAAGTGTCACGTTTAACAGACTATTGAGGAGTTTGAATTCTCAGGCGACTGTCACTCCCAGAAATACTGCAAGTGTCCACTCGGAGCGCACTCGGAGATCGCACAGTGCAGCGTAACACACACACACACACCTGAAACTACAGAAACACAACCCAGAGATCCGTTAGGACCTCTACTCAAGATTTCAGGGGGGAAAGTCTCTCGAGAGTACACGCAGCGAAGCTGCGGGTAGTGACTCCCAACTCCAGCTTTTACAACACTTCCACTAGCTTGCTACTAGCGTAGGAAACCCGGTTTGGACTGCCTACTTCGGATCGAAGTCACTCATACGCGGTGAACAACACTCTCAACTCACAAAATGCGCAGTGAACACAGGTCCGCACAGAAGGACTCGCTGAGAAACATTCCAGTAACACACCATAACAGTCTATTGAAGAGTTTGAATTCTTAGGCACTTGTCATTCCCAGAAATACTACAGGGGTTGCCCTGAAGGCACCTGCTGCAGCGTAACCTGAATTTACAACCAAGGCTTGCACGAAGTAGCAAAACTTCACTTTGGCATTCAGGGGAAAAATCCCGAAGGAGTACAATGAGGAACAAACACTCGAAGGTGTAGGGGCGAAACTATTCAAGTATCTAACTAGTCACTAGCTCTGAGCATCGGCAATCACCCGCAGGTGTAGATCCGAACTACTCAAGTCTCTAACCAATGTACTAGCTCTGAACATTCGGCCGGAGGCCTTCAGCTACAAAATGCGGAACGCCAAGTTGCAGCTCCTCTTCCGTGGTGACAGAACTAAGGACACAAACACGCAGGAAAAATGAGTTCCTGATCTGCACTTCTGATGTTGGGAAAGATCCCAAGGCAAGACGCCTTGAACTAATTTATACCTTCTAAGTCCTAACTAGCACTACTGTAATAACCCACCAAAGGCTAAAACTGCAGTATGGTGGTAAAAAGATCGAACCCACAGGGACAGAGGCAACACACAGAGTAAAAGTGTCACGTTTAACAGACTTTTGTAGAGTTTGAACTCTAGGCGACTGTCACTCCCAGAAATACTGCAGTGCTCGACTCGGAGGCTCGACTCGGAGGAGGATCTCAACTCGGAGGATGCTCGGAGGATGCACGGTACAGCGTGGTCACTCAACACACACACACACACACACACCTGAAACTGGCAAAAAGCACAACTCGGAGGTCGGTCAGGACCTCCGCTTCGGATTTCAGGAGGAAAGTGTCTCACAAGTTCACTCAGAGGTTCTTCAGGTAGAGCCTCCCACTCCGGCTTTTACTGCCCTTCCGCCAGGAACTAGCGGGGGTACCCGGACTGGACTTCCCACTTCGGAACGAAGCCTCTACATACGCCGTGGACGTCACCCTCGACTATCACACCAAACGCAGGGAGTGCAGACCCGACTGAGAACTTACTGAAAACACGATCCAGTAACACACACACAACCTGAATTACAAACCAAGGTTTACACGAAGTAATGAAACTTCACATTGGCATTCAGGGGAAACTTCCCGTAGGAGTACAATCAGGATATGTCACTCGAAGGAGTAAGGGGGAACTGTTCAAGTATCTAACTCGCAGCCGGCTCTGAGCATCAGAAATCACCCGCAGG